TATAAAATCAAATATATAAGTGCCTGTATACCCTGTCCAAAATAAGAAGTGACAAAAATTATTTTCCACCAGGATCTCATTATTTTGAACAGAGTTTMTATAAAATGTAAACAATATAACTTACCAGCATTGTATTAACAATCCAAACATAGGCAAAGACAGAACTAAAAGCAACATTCTCCATGGCCGTACATAATAAGCAATAATTGATAGCAAAACATAACCAATTGGATACGACATATTCATCAAAAGACAAAGTAAAGTACGAGTTTTACCACTTGTCAGCTCAGTCACTAAAATTAATATAAAGAATTAACTTTTTAAATACTATCTTTGTATTTTTAAAGAAGTTTTTTTATTATTACATATTGTGTACGATGATTCATAAATTCCAGATCCAGCTAYACCTATCAAGAATCTTGCAATTAAAAATAATACATATGAATCAATTAAGGCAGCAGATGATCCTGAAAACATGTAAATAAAAGCTGCCAAATTGAAAGCAATTTTTCTACCATATACATCYGAAATWGAACCAAATAAAAGTCCACCAACAAACTTTCCAAAAGCTATAGCTGCTTGAATATTTGATTTCATTGCTACATTATCACAAATTAAATTCCACTGAAATATTTTATAAAACAAAATATAGTATATTTAGAAATTATTTTTCATTTTAACAAATGTTAACATACTTCAGATACAACAGATTCTCTGTTACTGTAACTATAATACTGACAAGGTTTTAAATCTGCAGATTTTAAATTATTCATTGACCAATTGTAACCGTTTTTTGCAAATATTGAATAATTTCGATTGTAATAAGAACATTYTTCAAGTTTTTGTGATGAATAATTTTGATACCTAAAAATATAATGTTCACATATTATTTGGTATCGACTAGGTAATTTAATAATTTTCTGAAAAAATGTAATTTCCTATTTAGAGATGTTATAAAATTCAAATATAAAATTTAACCCTAACTTTACTATAGTGACTGCCAGTGGCGCAACTAGGATCTATTTTCGGGAGGGGTTAAACATATAAAAAAATAAATTAGCAAAAAAAAGTCTTCACTTTGAAATATTTGACTTTTAAAAACATTTCAGGAGGGGTCACAACCCCCAAACCCCACCCCTGGTTGCGCCACTGGTGACTGCAATAATAAATTGTAATATAAATGGTTACTAATATTACTATTATTATATATATAATTAACTYTTATACAAAAACCTTCAAAATTGTAAAGGCCCTTATCTTATACCTGAGAGCAATCACTTAAAATGTAAATTAAGATTATTGCATGTTCAAGATTATTTTTTATTAATATTAATAATTAGTATGTATTATTGGTTTGAATATATTATCTTACGGTGTAGAAACATCTAAGAGCATTTGGTCACTCCATCCTGCTGCTTTCAAAACTGGTACATCACACCAGTAAGAAGGTTTGTCAACTAAGAACACATACGACGAAATCTGTATAGCGTTAAATATTCCTGGGGTACCGGCCATCATCAATAGCAGAAACACCTGATACCATTCTTTAGAGTAACTGTCAATATATTTGTCCAATTTGTCAACCATTTTGCAGTTRGTGGTGTATGAAGGTAGATTGGCTGCACAAAAGGATCACAATTAGAATGAGCAATAAACTTATGGCAAACACCAAATAGTTATTGCAATAGTGTAATTATAATCTAATGAATTACAAAATAAAATAATTTAATTTAAGATTTACCTCACATACAACCAGTCAACAATCCTCATCACAAGTTAGTAGTCACCAATATTTTGGCCTTCCATCATTAGTCATTACATACAGACCTCAACATTTTTAGCTGAAAGTGATAATAATATAACGTAACAGGTATATCTACATCATAAATTGTAGTCGCTTGGAAATTATTATTGGCGACATTGGCGTTTGCCGTCATACTACTCATACTACAGTAGTTTCTCAATATATTAAAGGTAATAAATAATAACGAATTTCGAATGAGTGGATAAGAAATGAGAATGTTTGACTGATATAGAACTTAATGATAACATCACAATCAATTTTCAAATATCAATTTCATAGAAATATGGTTAATAATGATTTTTAATAGAATTTTTATTTTTATTTAAATAATTATWATTCAAATTATCAGTGGTGAAAAAAATTACTGATTATGTAATTCTTCAGATAAATTGAATACCTATATGTCATTATGTGACTGCATCGCGATTTAAGATTTATACAGACTTAAAATAGTCCGTGTGTTAGACGGTCTCCTTATCACAATTCGATGTGAAACCAGTATAATATATCTTAAATGGTGGCCTATATAGCTGATGCCTACACCTCGCAGTAATAACACAATTTTGAAAA